ATCTGTAGATGTTAGTAATGTATGGCAATCGCTTCTTTGATTTTAAAAAACATAACATAAATAAACATAACATACGTAAAAATTAAAAACAAATTAAAAATAATCATACGGAAAATTTGAAGCTTTTTGGTTTTACCTTATTAAGTAATTGTTATCAAGTAGTAATTGTTTATTTTGAAGTTTAACTTGATATGATGTCATTTTAACAGAACGTCAACGCTTTTTGTAGATGCATCTGTTTAAAAAAAACTAAAGTGTTCTCGAATAGTTGCATTTAAATATTTTAAATAGTTTTTTTCTTTATTCTTTGTATTTTTTTTTTGCTTTCGACGACGGAAAGAGATAAACTTTCCGAAACGTTAAGCATTTTTTTGTTCGTTAAGCAAATTTGTTTATCTTGTAAACCTAACTGCTGACAATTAGTCTCCGTTGGACTAACGCCAGAAGTGTTTACAAAAAATAACTATTTCATTTTGTAGATTTTCTTGCAGTGGCGAAATGCCCATATAAAATTTTTTTGGAGACTATGGTTTTAATCATATCCAGTTCGTTTAGTTAGTTTTTATAATAACCGTTTCTGATTTTGGGTCATATGGTGAAGTTCATTAGTTCCACCACCATTCATCATAAAAATATTACTTGCTAGCTTATAAACAAACAGAAAGAAAACTCTGCAACTTTCCTTGCAGTGGTTACTAAAAAGTTATGTCTTTATTTCCTATTGGTTAGTTGTGTTTCTTCTTTGGGAAGAAACTTTTGGGGGTGTGGGGCAACATGGGAGTGCTGCATGGCAGAACTTTATGTTATTCATCACTAAACTGGCAAACGTAGATCTATATACTAAGATTATTAAGTTGATTTTAAAAAATAAAGCACGACGACAGGTATAGTAATTAACTCGGTAATTAATTACCTAACATAATTATTTGCTAAATATATCATTACCTTAAAAGGAGACAATGGTCTAAAAGAAGAGCCTAAAAAAATTTAGATTAACAACAACTGAAATAGATTTTCTAAACTACCTGATAAATATCTAAATTACCAGCTGTTTTAGTAAACTGACATTAAATTTCCATTTTAACCAGATTTTGCTACCATCTAAATTGTTGCATTTTTCAAAGAGGAAAAAAAACAGTTTGTATGTACAAATGATTTACCTACAAATTGCTTAAAAAATCATCAAAATCGGTCCACTTGAACACAATAACGTCAATATTTGGATGCAAATTGGTATCTGGGAGTTTTTTGACATGAAAAATTTAATTTTGATGTCAATATGACTCTTATTTATAAGGGGCGCCACCTACATGTGTTTTAACTGTTTTTAAGAGTAATAACTTCCGTACCCGTATAAAACTACTGAGTGAAAAAATATACATTTCCGTGATTTTTTGCGTAAAAAATGTCTCTTGCTACGAGCAACTACTACTAAGGGCTGGCAAAGGTTAGTCTTGGGTCGAGATTTCCGTATGTAAGAAGAGTACAATGCGTTTATAATGTACTGAACAAAGAGAGGACAGTAAATACGTTGCCAAACGTATGAAATAAACCGATAAACTGTGCACATCGCCAAGAGACGTGGAAGGGGATATAGCAGATTTGTCGCAGTTGACCGGTCGACCCAATCAATACCTCTGTCAATACTTAAAGTTCTAGGGAGAGGTGTACGTCATGCGTTCAGCTTCACGATTTAATTACGTCTCGTGATACTTAATTTGTTTATTTATTAACGAGTCGTTGTAATTTTCCCTATAGCTTGATTTTTTTTAAGTGCAAGCTAGAAACACTTGCATTTTTGGTAAAAACAAGTGGAGTTGATTGGGTGTTCGATAGTGGTCCCGCTATTAGAACTCTGAATTCAAAAATCGATATCTCGAGATCTATTAGAAATAATAGATTGTAGTTTTTTCAAGAACTTTGTTAATATTTCTGCTGTATTTTCTCTGTAGACAGTATGTGAAAATCTTTATCAATAAAAAAATTACACGATTGCTGAAAATTGCTATGCTCTAAAAGTAAATGGATGGATTGTTTACAATTTTTGAATGGAAAAAACAACCTTATCGAATTTTTCTTATGTAGTGGCTAAGTGGTTATTGAGTTATGGCCTGTTATGTGTTAAAAAGTTGAGTTTTTAAATTATCGCGATTACTGACGTTTTCTCGTTGTAAAAAAATGACACCTCAACGATATCCTTATAATTCCATTTCAGATGCTCAGAAACATGTCTAATGATTTTATCTAGTTATCTCTTGAAAAAAAAGTCGTTTAAAAATAAGCGGTTTGCAATCGTGATTTTACTTTACTTGATAGGGGAAGGCGTATCGGCAACGCCGCATCAGCACACCGTCGCGCGGTCGCATTTCTCTCACTGCGACTTAATAAGATCCCTATGCGATTTACTTCGACACATGTAAATGCCGACCCAAAAGTAACAGTTGCCAGCACGGTATAATATACATATATTCAGAATGGAAGTAGTCAATACATGTCATTATTGACAAAAAATAAACAATATGTTGAATAGATAGTTATTTGACTGAAATGATAAATTTGGGAACTTTTTATTTTTTTAAATTAATCATAAATTTTTCTTCGAAAAAATGATAATATAACAGGTTTCTGAAACTTTTGACACAAAATCATTTCAAATTTATGATTTCAGTCTAATAAATATTTAGTGGACATTTTTTATTTGTTTCATTACTCGTAGCGATTTTTACCAAGAGACATTTTTTTACGTAAAAAATCACGGAAATGTATATTTTTTCACTCAGTAGTTTTATACAGGTACGGACGAAGAGTTATTTCTCTTCAAAACAGTTAAAACACATGTAGGTGGCGCCCCCTACAAACAGTAGTCATATTGACATCAAAATCAAACTTCTCATGTCAAAAAACTCCCAGATACCAATTTTCATCCAAATATTGACGTTACTTCAGAAATTATTTGGAAACAATCGAAATAAAAATGAAACTTCTACACCCTGTATCTATACTGTGGAGCTTGGTAGTGGATGAACTACTGGAAAAATTAACTCTAGCGGGAATACACTGCATAGGGTATGCAGATGACATAGTCATGATTGCCCGGGGGAAACATGAAGGCACCCTGTGTGATATTATCCAAAGAGGACTCCGCATCACTGAGAGATGGTGCAGGACTGTCGGGCTGAGTATCAACTCAGATAAAACCGCGGTAGTGCCATTCACCAGAATGCGAAGTTTGAAAAACTTGAAAAGAATCCATCTAGATGGAAAGAAAATACTGCCATCACAGGAAGTGAAATATCTAGGAATAACCCTGGATAGTAAACTTCTCTGGAACAGGCATATTAAGAACATTACCAGCAAAGTCACAAAGGCTCTCATGATATGCAGAAGACTGGCGGGAAATTTTTGAAGACTGGTCGGAAAAAGGCAGAAGACTGGCCGGAAAAAAATTTTGCGCTGGATGTATACCATGATAGTAAGACCCATGATTACATATGGAGCAGTTGCTTGGTATACAAAACTAGAGCAACGTACAGCAAGGCAAAACCTGTGCAAAGTACAGAGACTGGCATGTATCTGTATCACAGGTGCCATGAGAACATGTCCAACAGCAGCAATGGAGATCATTTTAGACGTAACACCACTGCATATTGTCGTCGGTTGTTACGCCAATACGACAATGATTAGAATGGTCATAGACGGAAACAGTACTGGGAGAATTTTTAGGTCAGGGGCTTGGAACACCCTCAAAAAGAAAATTCCACTTCTCCAACTCCCAGTTGATGACATACCAAGAATTTACAACTTTGAGAAACACCTCACTGTAGTATTGAGTAATAAAAAGGATTGGAAAGAAGAAACGCTTACTCGGCATATAAAAGACCATACCATAACGTGGTATACTGATGCTTCCAAAACCAAAGCAGGGACATGGATAGGAGTATTTGAGCCGAAAACCAAATACTCTGAACCAATGGGCACCTACCCCAGTATCCTTCAGGCAGAAATTTACGCTATCAAAAGATGTGTACAATTTATCTTAGACAGGAACTATCGAAAACAGGAAATTGCCATCCTATCCGATAGTCATGCAGCACTAAACGCGATCAACTCAGTAATCATCAATTCGAAGTTGGTCAAAGAATGCCTAGAGAAGCTCAACAAGTTGGACAAAGAAAATAAAGTCCTCCTACTCTGGGTGCCTGCTCACCAAGGGATAGAAGGCAATGAAAAAGCAAATGATCTAGCTAGGAAAGGAGCGAACACTCCACTAACTGGACCAGAACCGTTCTGTTTTCCAAGCGAAAACCAGCTGAAAGCGGAACTGAAGAATCTGCAAGACTCCAACCGTAACTTAGAATGGGTGTCTTCCAACGGTCTAAGACACTCGAAAAAGTTCCTCAGAACCTACGACCGAGAAAAATCAAAGGCTTTCCTTGATTTAAGTAAAAACAATCTTCGGATTGTCACGGGGTTTCTAACAGGACATTGTCTCCTCAACGAACACCTCAGTAGGCTGAAGCTGAGAAACAACGGCGAATACAGATTCTGTGGGGAATATGGGGAAACACCAGAACACCTCATCACTGAGTGCGCCGAGACGACGACCATTCGTGCCATGAACTTTAGTACGGCTGATGTCAAGGATGGAGAGCTGGCCTCTATGGAGCCGTCTCAGATACTGGCTTTTGTTAAAGCCTTGAGACTGTATGATGAGTTATAACTCGTTATAGCTCAAGAAAGGGGAACACACAATAGATCTTTAAGGTCGCGGTGACTAACTCCTCTCCTAATCATTCTACATTCTACATTCTACCCTGTATCTATGAAACTAAGCAATTTAGGACATACATTTATACAAACTTTTTTACTTATTTTTATCTGCAGAATATGCTGCTGAAGTTTCCGGAATACAGTTCGGATAGCCCGTAAAACTTGAGAAGTGAGAAATTATGAGTGTATTACTAATGCCCAAAAAATAATAAAAAAAAGTTAATACTGACCTTGTGCGCTCTGATGCAGCGGCCCTCGTCCGCGCACGCCAGCGTCACGTCGACGAGGCGCTCGTCGCGCAGCAGCTGCGCGCAGACGCCCAGCAGGTTGGCCTGGTGGTTGTTCCAGCGCAGGCAGTAGTGCTCACTCCCCATCGCCAGGCGCGCCCCGACTAGAGCTGAAACGAACAGAGAAACAACAATTAGTCTAAAATACCAAAAGAAATACAGAAAAAAAAAATTAAATCTAACAAAAAAATAATCACAATAAATGTAAAACTAAAAAAATAGTTCTATTTAAATGCATCAGAAATATTAATGAAAGGTAAGTTAACCCCTTTTGCTTATTACCACGGACGATTAAATGTCACTTTAATACATTTTTCAGCAAAGTCAGTAAATATAACCATTTTATAACTTTCGATTTTATCCATGCTACTGAACCAAATTAAATGAACGTGTAGTACTTGTTAGACGCAGAATTTAATTCTCTTTATTAATGACAAAAATCTAAAAAAGTGCACGAATTCTTTTGACCTTCCTGACTACTCTTTCACGTGAGACGAACCCATGAAAACAATAACGTCAATACTTATCATTCCTACACTTTTTTTCGTTTAGCCCTTCTATTACATCTGATTTGACTGGCCTAATAAAATCCTATTTATTTAAAAACTATATATGTAGAAAGTGCCCCTGCTAAAAATTTATTAAAAACTGTTCTGTTGATTGAAAGAATTGTGAAGATACGCAGCCTAATGAGCAAATTCCTGATTGCCTATTCCACTAAACTAACTTTCATACTTTCATCTACATATTGTCATCGTTTATAGTTAGAATGTGCTCATTCGAACAACTTTGCCCTCGACAGGTTCCATAGTTGTACATTTCCTGCCGGCTTTAATGCAACTGCATCTTTTTACACAATCTTGTTTGCAGTTGCACGTTATTAATGACATAATTGAAGCAGGGGCGGGCGATTCTGTTGTATATAAAGGTGACAGGGTGTTGTTGATTTTCTTCCAGCCCCACTGGTCGGGTTTTACAGGTTGTTCCTGCCATATTTGTACTTGAAGATATGTTCTCCGAGAATGTTGCCTAGCTGCAGCAGATGTGGAAGGCAATTTGAATAAAAGTACCGTGCTGTTTGCTTCACCAACTAACTTATTGAAACAAGTGTATCTTTGCTCACTAAGGCTCCCTACAGTTTGTATAGTTTCCGTATAAATGTCTTTTCAGCTTTGTCAATTTTTTTAGATGTTGTCTTTGCGTTGTTAAAAATATCGACGATACTATCAAAGTCTTTTTCTTTATTAAATATTTGTACGTGTTGTTGTTTTCCTTTTCCAAAAAATCCTGATGTTGTGTCACACCCGCTAATAGCGTGAATAAATAAAATAGATTTTTTTAAATTACGTATAATACTGGATGATTGCATGTCTCTCGAACTATACATTCGTTGTTTCACATTACCTATGACTTCTTTCAGAAAAAGAATGTCTTTTTCATAGGGGGAAAGTGCTGCTAATAAAACAATAAGATCGACATCTTGTTCAACGATTAGAACTTGTTCATTTTTCTCAGATATTTTGATGGCAGTACGAATAATTTGAACATCAGCAAACAAGAGTGTGTCAAAAGATGCAGTTGCATTAAAGCCGCCATGTTAACTATGTGCGGAACCTGTCGTGGGCAAAGTTGTTCGAATACTGAGCACATTCTAGAAACCATAGACGATGACAATATGTAGATGAAAGTATCAATGTTAGTTTAGTGGAATAGGCAATCTTTTTGTTCATATTATACAGTATTATATCTGTTGCATGTATATTTAGCACGTTAAAATACCTTGGGAGACTATAATTAGAAAGGCAACCTGTATTTTTTTCTACTCCATTTTTCAAACGGTTATTGCTCGAAATGCATTGGATAAATATAAATAATGAATAGAACCTTTTTTGTAGAAAATTTTATAAGGAATATTTTTGATAAGAATAAAATTTTCTGTGTGACTAATGGTTTTCGAGAAAAATGATAAAAACCACCGCAGTATGTATTGGGGGTGGTTTTTAGGGGTGAAGCTCACACTTTGCAGTTAGGAACTCTTTTGATTTTAAAAAGTCTCTTTTTAGTACGTATAACCTCAACATATCAAAACGTCTCAAATGCTCTACAGTGGAGCCTCTACTCGTTCTGCGGCCAACACATAAAACACTCATTTCCTCTAATTCGGCTAGCGAAAGCATATCGAAGACGGTCTTGAACTGAAAGCGACTGGTTGGCTATATTAAAATATGAATATCTGTACCTAATACGTTTGACGAAAATATCTATGGATGAAAAATCCGCGTTTATGTATTGAAAATTTATTTGTGTTAAACATAGATTAAACAACAAAAATAAAAATCTTTTTTTTAGGTACTAAATATTTCGTATGATCGAAAAATGTCGTTTAGTTGACTTGGAAATGTTTTACATATGAAATAAAAGCGATCTTCATTTCCAAGCCAACTCTGATGCCGTTCTTTGTTTAATCATATAATATTATATTAAATTGGTTTAATGATAGAAAATCCGTATTATTAACGTACTATACCCAAAATCCGTAAATCTACGGATTAATCGGTGAGAAAAACGCCGGAAAACATCTATTTGGAAAACCTCATTCCTTACACCAAATGTCCTAACTGGTTGCATAAATAACTAATCCAATGTCCAACACAGAAACATCGGATACCATTTAGGAAGTACCTACTTAACAGTACTTATCGCCGATCAAACACGAGTAATTTGCGCAATGGTAATAAAATACCTGGTGCAATCGAAAAAAATAAAGAAGTACCGCGCGGTACAAAGTGGCGGAGCGTGACCGTGGTAGTACCAACGTCTGTACAGATAGTAGGTACCATTGGGCGAATAAAAAAAATGGAGAAGCGCCGCGCCGTGTAATGTAGTGACAACGCAAAGTAATAAATATCGTTATAGTGTGTTATAACGGCTCATCGGGAGGAGATTTCAGACAATAAAACGGCAGAATTATTGCTGTTAAGGCTCTTATTACTGTTGCGGCGAGGCATTAAGATTGCGATCATTGGCGTTCGAATGTGTGGCTCTTTTAAGACATTTGGAGCGGTGCAGGGTATAGAAAGGTGGAAGGAAGTATAGAAGAAAGGCAAGAAATCGGCTTATTAGAAAGAAAATGAAGCTTAATATTGATTTGGTTTGGTTTGGTTTGGGCTTAGTCCGCCATGTTGATCGGTTACTTTGGCACTTTAATAACGTCTGTGTGGTTGAGTTATTCAGTTATATGAGGCTTTAGTTTCATTAGAGCGGTAACTGTTCTCTTCAATATTTTAAATATTTTAAACAAAAGTCCTATCGTATTGTAGTTAATTTGTTGTGTTGTCAAATCAAATTGCGCTGTGTGAGATCTCTGGTGTGGGTATTCATTAAAACAGCGGTTTCCAAATATGTTTCAGAAGATAAAAAGCAAAAAGAAGAAAAACATAGCAACAAGTCGAGGCATGGAACTGATTATGGTAAAATGTTCTTTTAATATTTGGCATTTTCATTATTTTGAAATGCGTCTTTTAGAACTGGAAGAAGATGTTGATGCCTTCAAGCCCTCAAATTCGACAATTTAACATCGGACCCACTTGATGCAACTTGGAAAGCCTGTTGCAAATTCGTCTAGACCTTATCAAATCTAAGGATACAGCTAATATAATGAAGAAATGGTCTTTTTATAGAAATCCCTCAGGATATCGACTGGTAAATTAATTTTCTTATTATAATTTACCCTAAAATTAATAATAACGTTAATATTCTCTTCGTCGATTCGATTTTTTTAATTTTTAATTTATATATATGTATATGCTATATCGAGTTTAATAAATTATTATTAGTTTATTGCACTTGGTTTTTATTAATAATCCCTAATGGAAAAATTTACTGTGCTCGTAAGTAAGTCGGCACTATTAGTATTTTTGTTACCTTTGTAGCTAAGGGCTTGTTCAAATGGAAATCTATTTATAGCAGAATTATTTCAGGTAGTTAGCTGGGAAATGACTATCAATGACATTTCATATCAATGACAGCGATCTTCATCATCAATTATACGGTATAACAAGAGTTACTAATAGTGTCGACTTTTAAATGTATAACTAAATGGCTATGAAATTATTTCATTGTATTAATGATAACGGTTCATTAATAAAAAGATTTAGGTGTATTATATTAATGAAATCTGTTCATTGTACCAATGAATGTGTTCTTCAAATTAATGAACACTGTTCATTGATTTAATGAACTTAAAGCTCATAGAGTTAATGAATTACTTTTCATTGTGCCAATGAAATCATTCATCGGTTCAAAATTAATGATTTAATTCATTATATTAATGAACTTTTTCATTATATTTATGTCGACTTTTGGTTCAGCGAATGTATGTCCGTTATGGCTTAGTTTCGGAAATACAGAGTGTAAAAGTTTCATTTTTATTTCGATTTTTTCGAAATAATTTCTGAAGTAATGTCAATATTTGGATGAAAATTGGTGCCTGGGAGAAATTTGATTTTGATGTCAATATGACTCCTACTTGTAGAGAGCACCACTTACATATTTTTTAACTGTTTGCAGAGTAATAACTTTTCATCCGTACCTGTATAAAACTACTGAGTAAAAATACATACATTTAGGACGTCTTTTACGTAAAAAAAGGTCTCTTAGTAAAAATCGCTACGAGTAATGGTTCTCGAGATATTTGGAATCGAAATTATCAAAACCTGTCATCATTGACATAAATTAAACGTGTTGACTAAATCGTTATTAGACTGAAATCATAAATTTGAAATTACTTTGGATCAAAAGTTCAACAGAAACTGTTTTATCGTCATTTCTTCGCAGAAAAATTTATGATTAATTTAAAAAAATAAAAATGATCCGAATTTAGTATTTCAGTCAAATAACTATATATCTACTCAACATGTTTATTTTTTGTCAATAATGACATGTATTGACCATTTCCATTCTAAATATCTTGAGAACGGTTGCTCCTAGCGATAACGTAAAAAGTCACGGAAATTTATATTTTTTCACTAAGTAGTTTTATGTACGGATGAAAATTTATTACCTTTCAAAACAGTTAAAACACACGTAGGTGGCGCCCCCTACAAATAGG